CGTTGAGATGGTAGTAGCATCTGTTTGTGAACCTCAATGACACCCTGTTTCAGAAACAGCTTCTTCATGTCATTGAGGCGAACAAGGCGAAACTGGTCGACCACAGCAGTCTTGCAGTGAGCGACATCAATGAGCCCACCAATCCCATGGAAGAGGAGAGGTGTGTTTTCATGTATGCCGTCTGTGTATCTGCTGACAATCTTCCTGATATGTTCATTTTTACCGAGGTCGTTGCATGCCATGCATCGCCCATTCCCTTTGATCTCACCAGTGCACAAATGCGATGTGAGGAAGAAGCCATCACGACACACGCTGTAGTCCCACGGGAAGGACATGACTGTATGGAGGCCAAAAGGGTAGGACGTATGGGGCTGGAGGCCGGGAGGGAAGATAAGACGGTATCCGGGGCACGGGTTAGCAGGTACGTCTGCGGATTGCTTCTCTGCATGTGAGGGGACCTGTGGTTGACATGCAGTAGGTGTTTCAGGTGTGGGAGATGCTGCATGTACGATAAGAAGCCAATCCTGCCAGTGAGGCAACTGTAACGTACCCGCATGAGGTGCAGAAGACATAGGGTCTATGGCATATGCAATCACAGGGGCTGGTACAGGGACAGTACAGGCGTTGGGAGCCTTTGTGTGCGCTGCGAAGAAGGATTGGATTCCGCGCTGGTTTCATTTCTGAGCGGTAATGTTCTTTCTCTTCTTGTGATTATCCTGGCACGCTTTGCTAATCCCAGGTCGATGTTGTTTCCGGAAGTTCGCCAGTCCGCCCATGCCCACTTTGATCTCTGTGTCACAAGCTGGGCATAGGACTTTTCCATCCTTGATGGTGAGGGTTTGAGAGATGTCCTGAAGACCAACGCGTTAACAAGCATTCACCCAACGCGTTTTGTATAATTTATGACGATTTCAAGTTCCCCTTGATCAGGCGAGGGATCCATGGTTCATAGAGAGTATGGCTGTCACAGCAGTCAAAGGGTGCGTCGTTGCAGTCAAGGGTCACGGTGAAAATAATAACTGGATTCCCTAGGGGACTTGGAGAATCCTTGGGAGGATCTCAAGAGGATCTGGGAATCCTTTCAAGAATCCTTTGGTTTGCAATGTCTGTCACGTTGCTCACATCACATATATATGTTGTGTACTATCTAATACATGGCTATATGTGTTCAAAACATCATGCAAGTGTGATATTCGTGTCAAGCCGTTAGATGCGGCTTGCGTACTACACGCAGCTGAAAATATCGAGCACTATAGGATGGTCACATGAGGAAGATCACATGACTGATGCGTTGCGTTTCCGTGGTTGCGCGTCATTCAGACATCGAGGAGAAAGTTACTAGATATATTTGGCATAGAATATGAGAAAAAAGTACACTTTGGCCGTAAAATTGACCCCAAAAAAAGTGGTTGACTTTTTTCAAATCATGACCCGGACCTGGACTAACTAACCAACCCCCTATCCGGGATTCCGATCCCGGGCCCCCCTTGCATCCTCCTAGTAGGGGACACTTCAGATGGGTTTTTTCTCTTTGTGCAAAATCAGCTCACAATTTCATTTTTTCTAGTGATTTCAACTTCACAGTTGACAGCACCCGACGAAGGCCACCACTGCCACCACCAGGGCTCAGGGCTCAGGGCTCATCAAGCTCATCGCCCACACTGCACACATGTTCATCTTTTTTTTCCCTTCCTCCTTTGCTCTGTGTGATTCTGATCCCCCCCATTTCTCCCCCCACTTCGAATGTCCATCCAACCTCCTCGACCGGCCCACACCACGGCGCGCTCTCCAGCCTCATTGTCGATGTCAGCCCCCGCTGCCCAGCACATGCACCACGATACGCATCTGCATGCACGCCACCGCACGCACCACCACACGCGCACCACCACACATGTCCGCACGCGCGCCACTGCCCACACTACTGCATGCGCACTACACACGTCCACACACGCGCCATTGCCCACGTCTGCATGCACACCACCACACATGCACCACCGCACGCACCACCGCCCACGTCTGCACATGCATCACCACACCTGTGCCACCGCCCGCCCACGCACCTGCACCATCGCCCGCGCCCGCACCTGCGCCATCGCCCGTGCCCGCACCTGCATCATCGCCCACGCCCGCATCTGCACCACTGCCCGCCTGCGCACCTGCGCCATTGCCCGCCCATGCACCTGCGCCACCACCCACCCGCGCACCTGTGTCATTGCCCGCGCCTGCACGCGCACCACCACACCTGCTTTAGTTACTTTTGTTTTTGTTTAATGTAATTAGCACAAACAAATATATAAATATTTGACCACTGCAACTTATAAGCCCTGATAAGAATGAATAAGTCTCAATTAAGCAAAATTAAGCAAAATTAAGATTGTCCTGATAGTATTATTTGCTTAATTCATGCTTAATGTGTGCTTAGAGTTGTGTGCTTACTCTGGTCTTAGTTGCACACTCAATTTAAGCTGCTATTAAGAAGGATTAAGATTTCTGGCTGCTTAATAAGAAACAGACCCTACTGAATCTAAGATGACTTCATCTTAATGAGGATGAGCTTAATTCGTCTTAATAAGACGAATAAGACAATTTAAGATGGATTTAGCATTTTGACATTTTCCTGATGACTGGAGAAGATGTAAAAACTCAAGTCATGAATGCATGGCTAGGTAGCTCAATAGGTAGAGCCCTGGTATATATCCAGAAGCCCTGGGTTCAATCCCCAGTCTGGCCAGTCCCACTTTTGTGGACTCCAACATGGACTAGTTTACATAAAATTTACACAATGAAACCCATCACTCTTGTTCAACCAACCAAGTACAAACTTTGTGTCTCTTTCTAGCAACTATATCATTTGCAATGATTCCAAAGTCATCATTGTAGAAGATAATTAGTTTGAGAATGTCCACATTTTGATATCCATCAATATTTGCATCCCATGGATTAGGAACATCACCAACAGCTGCATTTGGTTGATAATCTTGGGCAACAGGTGGTAGACCTAGAGAGAATAGGTGTTGGGAAATGTATGTGTGGGGGAGAAGTGGACAGGTGTCCGACGTCTATTCCTTGACTGTCTACCTAGTCCTATATACGGATCCCTGCATTCCCTTGACAAAGCCATCCTCCTAACTCCTGTGCGAGGCGCGATGGATCGCCGACCTGACGATCGTATCCGATTGTTCCCGCGTTAGTAAGCCTGGGAATCCCGACACTCCCCCTCAAGCGATGTGAGTCCCATTTCGGCTGTGTGCTGGAGGTGTTTAGGTTTAGGTGACCATGGGCGATGGCACGGGGGGCAAGGAGAGGCGCGATGCAGAGATGAGGCGTGGCGACGAGGGGTGGCGCCGATGCAGACCCGCCGCACTGACGCAGACATGGGACGTGGTGACGAGGGGGGCGCTGATGCAGCGATGCAGACCCGACGCCCCGACGCAGACATGGGGTGAGGTGACGGGGGCGCCAGCGAGGGGGCGCCAACGTGACGATGCAGACACGGGGCCGCGACGCGCCGACGCAGACCCGACATGCCGATGCAGACACGGGGCCGCGACGCGCCGACGCAGACCCGACACGCCGATGCAGACACGGGGGCACCAACACGACGACACAGACCCCAGGAGGGCACCAACGAGGGGGGGCGACGACACGACGACACAGACACGGGGCGACGACGCACGGACGCCCCGACGCAGATACGGGGGCGCCGACACGACGACGCAGACCCCAGGAGGGGGGCACCGACGAGGGGGGGGCGACGACGCAGAAATGGGGCGGCGACGACGCAGACACGGGGCGGCGACGCGCCGACGCAGACCCGACGCGCCGACGCAGACCTGGGGGCGGCGACGAGGGGGGGCGGTGATGAGCGGCGACGCAGACGTGGCGCGACGCCAACGCCAATGCCAACGCGGCGCGACGCCAACGCCAACGCCAACGCGGCGCAATGCCGACACCGACGCGATCGCGACGGGAGGGGGGCAGACGAGGGGGCGCGACGACGACCGACCCCGACGCAGACCCGACGCCCCACACAGACACGGGGGCGGCGACGAGGGGGGGCGGCGACGAGCAGTGACACAGACACGGCGCGACGCCGACGCCAATGCCAACGCGGCGCGACGCCGACACCGACGCGATCATGATGGGAGGGGGGCGGCGATGAGGGGGGGGGCGACGACGCCCCGACGCAGACATGGGGAGGCAACGGGGGTGCCGACGAGGGGGGGCACCAACGCGACGACGCAGACACCGGGCAGCGACACAGACCCGACGCGACGATGCAGACACGGGGTGGCGCGCCGACACAGACCCGACGCCCGATGCAGACATGGGGGCGCCAACACAAGACACAGACAACAGCACTGCCAGGGAGTTCTGGGTAATCCCCAAGTGTCCCCAGCACTTCAGGAGGGCACCGACGAGGGGGGCGACGACGCGACGACCAGACACGAGGCGGCGACACAGACACGGGGCGCCGACACGACGACACAGACCCCAGGAGGGGGGTGGCGACGAGGGGGGGCGACGATGCGCTGATGCAGACACGGGGGGCGACGACGCGACGATGCAGACACGGGGGCGGCGACGCAGACGCGGCGCGATGCCGACGCCAATGCCAACACGGCGCGACGCCAACGCGGCGCGACACCGACACCGGCGCGATCGCGATGGGAGGGGGGCGGCGACGAGGGGGCGACGACACCCTGACGCAGACCCGACGCCCAGGCAGACCCGACGCCCCGACGCAGACCCGACGCCCCGACGCAGACCCAACGCCCCGACGCAGACCCAACGCCCCGCCGCAGACCCAACGCCCCGACGCAGACCCAACGCCCCGCCGCAGACCCAACGCCCCGACGCAGACACGGGGGCGGCGATGAGCGGCGATGCAGACGTGGCGCGACGCCGACGGCAATGCCAACGCGGCGCGACACCGACACCGACGCGATCGCGATGGGAGGGGGGCGGCGATGGCGGGGTGGTGACGCACACACGAGGCGATGCACACGCAACACAGAGATGAGGCGCGACAACGAGGCGCGACGACGCAGACATGGGGGGGATGGGGAGGGGCGGCGATGCAGTGATGGGGACGGCGACACGACAAGGGGGGTGACGACAAGACAGCAGGGAGGCCGACAAGAGAGGGCGACGGGGCGACGGGGCGACGACGGGGCAAGAAGGCGCGGCGGGGACTAGAGGGGAACAACCCAGACAGGGGGGCGCAGCGACACGGAGACGGGGGCGCGGCGACGAGGAGAGGCGCCGACGCAGACGGGGCGGCGCCAATGCAGACAAGGGATAGCAATGACAACCCAGCAGACCCAAGAAGACCCAAGAACCAAGAGAGAGAAGTGGGCGCGAAAAGGGCGACAGCAAGAGGCGAGAGGACGGTGAAGGCCAGGGCATAAGGCCAACGTGCAACACAAGAACGAGAACGAGAACCGAGGGTGAGGGCGAGGGAAAGAAGGCCACAAAGCCAGAGGAACACAGCAATGACAGCATGTGAGAGTCATGTGGTGAGAAGAGAGGATGTTGAACTTAGTCTCAGCGAGTCCGAGTGGCAAAAAAAATTACCCTAAAGGGAAATGTATCCCCAATGAGCCACAAGCCCTGGCTCAAGCCACGAGCCACGGTTTGGCTCGGCTTGGCTCGTCCTATTTTGGACGAGCTGGTGGTGAGCCGAGCCAAACCGAGCCAAACCGAGCCGTGGCAGCACTACTAGTAGTACCCATATGGTATTGGGAACATATCTGCACTCTGAGTTGCCTAATATGAATGGCTGATGGTGACAGATTATATCCCTCAACAGTGTTCCAACAGCCTGTGAAACATGTACACCTTTCCCTCACCCTCGGCCCGCAGGTCCCGGCCATCGTTGCCGGCGACTTCAACACACACTGCCCCCTCTGGTCCGCCCCACCCATCCTCGGCGAACGCGCCCCGATCTCCCCCTGGGCCGACCGCGTGGCGGACTGGATGGAGTCCCAAGGCCTCTCAATCCTCTCCCCCCCTGGCGTCCCGACACGCGCCGGAGAGAACGGCCAGCACAACACGGTCATCGACCTCGTCCTATGGAACCCCGCCGCTGCCTGGTCCGATCAGTTCCGCTTTGAACGGGTCTCCTTTGAAGACTCGCTTGGCTCTGATCACGCCGCCCTCACCTTTTCCTGGGCCCCCGCCCTGTTCCTCCCTCCGGCCCCCTCAGCCCCGACTCCCAGATGGCTGGTCCAGGATTCCCTCCAGGACCTATGGCAGGAACACTTCCGCACGCTCGCCGCCTCCCCAGACTTCGCCACCGAGGATCCTACCGCCCTCGCCCGGTTGACCCTCCAGGCGATTGTCGACGCCAACGACTTCGCCTTCGACCGTGCCCACCCCTCTTCCCTTGGCTGCGGTGCCCGCTGGTGGAACGATGCCTGCTCTGGCACCCTCGCCCTACTCAAGGCGGCCCCACCTGACGAACGCAAAGCCCCTTCCGTCGCCTCCGCACCACCATCTGCACAGCAAAACGGGACTGGGCGGAGTCCGTCCTCACCGACGCCACCAACGACGTCGACCACCACGCTCTTTGGGCCGCCGCCAAATGGCGCAAAGGCCGATCCAACCCCCTCATCCCACCCATCCGAACGGCCTCTGGGGACACGTCGGGATCCCACGAGGATATGACCGCTGCCTTCCGCGCCCGTTCTTCCCCTCCGTGACCCTCCCAGTGGCGACGATCCAACCGGACGACCCCACCCCCGACCCACACGGCCACACGCCCCCCTCACCGAAGACAAAATCCGCCACTGCCTCGTGGACACTTCCAACGCTCTGCCCCAGGCCTTTCTGGGATCGGGTACAAGTTCCTTAAATGGGCCTTTGCTGCTCGCCCTGAGGTCTTCGTCCGACTATTCAACCTCTGCCTCGACCAGGGCTCACACCCCTGGAAAGATGTAAAGGTTGTCGTCCTCGCCAAACCCTCCCGTCCGGATTATAGTGCCCCCAAGGCCTACCGCCCAATCGCCCTCCTGGAGTGCTGTGGCAAGCTCCTCGAGAAGATCGTGGCTCGCCGTATTATGGACGAGTCCAACGCCCACCTCCTCATCGACCCTCACCAGTTCGGCAGCCGCGACCACCATTGTGCGGTGGACGCTGCCATGACGGTCGTCCACAACGCGGAGGTGACCATTAAGGCTAAGCGGGCTGGCGCCCTCCTCCTCTTTGACATTTTGGGGTTTTTCGACAACCTCAATGTCGATCGCACCCTCCACTTCCTCCGCCTCCTGGGGTTTAGTGAGACGCTGATTAGCTGGACGGCGTCATTCCTTGCCCCTAGGAACACGGTCCTCTGTTCAACAACGAGTGCTCGGCCCCCTTCCCGGTCAGCTCCGGGACTCCACAGGGGTCGCCGATCTCGCCTGTCGCCTCGGCCACATACACGTCGGCCATGCTCACCCACCACAATGACAAGTGGGTCGATAAGACGGCCCAATTATACGTCGACGACGGCGGTATTTACGCCTCGGCACCACAGTCCGCTCGGCCCTCGAGAAGGCCGCCCGCGGCCTCGAAGACCTCACACAGTGGCTGGGCAAGAATGGCCTAAAAACCGACCCTGACAAGGCGGAGGCCATCGTTTTTCTCCCCACCCGCCCGAACCAGACCTCCTCGGCCCCACTCCCACTCACATCCCCTACCGCGACCCTTTGCCGGACAGGTCAACATCAAACTCAAGCCGCAGGTCCG